CCCGGGCCGAGCCGAGCCGAGCCGTGCCGTGCTGTACCGAGCCGAGTCGTACCACGCAGTGGAAAAGCGCCATTACTGACCTCAAACTCTTGAACAGTAGTATATATTTCCAGTAAAGTCATGCCTGAGGTATTTCTAAACTGTTTTATTGTCCTCTATTGTAAATCAGACCACTTTTAGTCAACACACATACTGAAGTTTAGTATTTAACTGATAGTATGTTGAAGTCTTTCCTACTGTATCTCATCACCATCTTTTAGTACTCAGTCAGTAGCTCCTGGTACCATGTTAAGCTAGATTTCTCTCGGGGTGTTTTTCTACACTCATAAACCTCACATTCCTCCTTTTATCATTTCTTATGCTCTTGTTTTTGTACTCCTCCTGCTTTTGTTTTATTAGCGCTTGTCCTGCATGCATCTCTCTCGCCCCTTCCGGTATTAAGAGCGTCTGGCCTGAAGATGTTTATCTGCGTGCAAATAGCTCCAGCTTGTAAGTCACTCATAGTAATACTCTTTTACTTAAAAACTAGGCCTCTCGTGTCGACCCTGAAGATTAATCCTATATTCGGCTCTCCGTGGAGATCAATAAAGCGCCTCAGAGTTTGCCGAAGACCTCTTGGGCGCCTCTGCTCCGGATTGGATTACACTAATATGTTCAAAAGCACTTTATATTTTCCCAGCGCCACTGTCAGTGTGTGCCGATAAAGCTCGTAGAGGGTAAGACTTTGTTTACCGCGGATTACAAGGATTACGCTGCTCTCGCTCGCTCTCCCGGTATCACTACCTCAGCAGATTAAACATCCCATCCATTACTCACTCAGAAGGGCTCGGAGAGCGGCCGCGGCCCTGCGGTTAACTATTACCGAGGGCAGGTGTACAGGTGCTTAATCTCGGCGTCAGGGCGGCTGATTCAGGCCTGCAGAGGCCAGTGGGCCCGACCCGCGAGCGCTAATTCTTTCAAACGCACGCTCTTTGAATCATTTAGCCGTGAATAATTTGGAGATGATGAAAGTTGCTGAAAGACAAGAACTTGGTGAAGTTTTGTGCTTTCTGGGGCATCCGCGATGAAAGCGGCGGCAGAGCGAGGAGCTCATCCTTGGAATGGGTTCTATTTTTAGGCGGCTTTGTTTCATTTCGTCTTGTGCGCTGTCAGCGTCTAAAGCGTTTGTTTAAAATGTATAGCTCCTGTATAGATTCTCAGTTAATGATCAGCTTTATGATTTGGGGTTATTTTGCATATTTTAACGTTGTTTTCACGTGTGTTTATACCAGGTATTAGCATTTGTGTTCCACTAGGATCTGCTTCAGATGGTACACTATTGATCAAACGTTTGGGGTCAGTAAGATTTGTATTGTTTTTGAGTGAAATTAATGCTTTTAATCAGCAAGGATGCTTTAAATTGATCAAAAGTGACATTTGTAATGTTACAACAGATTTTGATTTCAAATAAATGCTGTTCGTTTCAACTTTTCTATTCATTCAAAGAATCCAGAAAAATGAAATGTATCATGGTTTCCACAATAAATATAAGGAAGCACAACTGTTTTCATTGAAGTATCAATCGGCTGCTGAAAATTCAGCTTT